GGCTGGGGATTCGAACCCGCCACCTTCGGTGTACGTGGCTGGCGCCTTAGCCGGTTGAGCTATAGGCGCCGAGCCAATGCGAGAATTTAAGAATTAGAAAAACTGAAACACTAAATTTTCAAAGATAAATGACATAATTCTCAAAGTGCTCACTTTTTTCCTAAGTAATATTATGGATAACTGTGAATGTAAAAAAATAACATGAGAGTATGTTCATTTAAATTCTTAATGTTAACATATATCTTTTACTACCATGTCCTCAACATTTTTAGGTGGCAAAAAGGTTGGCATTAATCCTAAAATTAATAATTTAATGCCAGGATATGAAGTTGCGAAGTACGATCTTATATGGATTTGTGATAGTGGAATAAGAGGTGAGGTTTTTCTTATTTACTTTATAAAACTATTTGATGATAAAATGCCAAAAACAATCTGAAAATACATTTGTCACTCCTTTCAAACACTTATAGTAGTTTCAATGTTTTATTATTATTTTTTTAACGTTCTAATTACCTTAAGTTTTTCGCCCTCAACACTGTTGACATTTTGGGCCTGTTGACAGTTCTTTGCTGTGAGAACTGTTAAGGAGGATGTTGAGCAGGCACGCTGGCCTCTACCCGCTAGATCCTGGTAGCACACCCCCTTCTCAGTTGTATCAACAAAAAATGTCTCCAGACATTGACAGATGTCCCCGGTGGGGCAAAGTTGTCACCAGATGAGAACCACAGACCTAGATTGTGAGTATCTAAGGGCCAACTTTGTTTTGCATCATAGATTTAGTTCTTAAAGACTCAAAGGAAATAATAAATAGTCACATAAGATGGTATGATACAATGTGTTTGCTATTTGAAGGTAGGGCAATTAAAAAAATTTTTTTTATTAGCTTAAAATACAAATTTGAAAATTCGTGTAAGCATACCATGTCTGTGGATTAATTTAGGAACATGGCAGATCTATCAACCCAGAGTGTGTTCATTCTTCACATTGTTTACTATCATATATTTACGTTTTTCAGTAAACTAATGTCTGTTAAATATAATCACAGTTCCTGGCTTGGTTTCCTGGGGGGTGGGCTCAGCATACCCTACCTCCCCTCAGCCAAGCCTAGAGCAGAGAGGCCAGGGCATCCTCCCTGTGGGAGAGGCATTCAAGTAAGGGGCCTCGCCTGGGCTGTCCAAGCCTCACATTGACTCGTCCACAGTAGCCTGGCTGGAGGAACTGGTGAAAAGGATGAAGGGCTGACTGATGGGAGAAAAATAAAATATGTGTGTGTGTGTGTGTGTGTGTGCGCGCGTGTGTGCGCGCGCGCACGCGCGCATCACAGTCCATTCCTGTTAGCAATTCTGTGAAGTCAGGTACATATTATACCCACAGAGAAACTAGAGGCTCATTTCCTGTGGTTGAAGAGTAGAAAGCTACTGAGCCTTTTCTACTGGGACTTACTATCTTTGTTTGAATTTGGAGGTTCTGACGTGAGGGTCAACGTTTCCAAGGTGTATCCTGCCTCTGGTACATATTAGGTATATAGTGGGCTGAGAATGTGTATAGTAAATTAACTTATAAATTTTGCCTTTTTGAAAATGTATATTCTACTCAGAAAGGTGGTTGAGATTTGTTTTATTAGACCCGACCTGTTTAAAGATTTTATTTTTATTAAGTTAATAACAATTCACAAAATATCTTTTACTCCAGTAGACATTTTACTAAAAACCAATTTTTTTTCTCTCCTCCCCCTGCCCTTTTTTTTTTTTTAATTGTAGTAATTCCAGACACACTTACTGACATGGTTAATCAAATGACAGAGAAAGTAGGCTTGGTTCATGGGCTGCCTTACGTAGCAGACAGACAGGGCTTTGCTGCCACATTAGAACAGGTAAGTATGGTGGTTATAAATAATGTTCATGTTATCAGATCCCAGGAGCTTGAGCCATATTCCAGGAGTTGGGACTAACCGTCTGCAAGTATTGTATTAAGTCTATTTGGGAACCTGCTGTGAAGTTCTAGAATCCTCAGGTTGAAAACAGCTGTTTTCATTAGTGAGGAAATTCTGGGCCCCTGACTGCACCCTGGCAGTGAATGGCTATGAACAGGAAATGTCTTATGGTCTTAACTGCCAGCTGAATACAGTATATTCCTTTTCTTATGGTGCTTACCTTCAGTTCTAGACCACTGACTTGCACAAAAGGACATATTATGTTGTTCTTTCAAAGATTCAATCTGAAAAGAACCTTTTTTAAATATCAAGAATTATTTCAAATATACAAGGAAAAAAACTTGTTCATATAAGTTGTCATAAAATCCATTTGATTTCCTTTTGAAACAGGCTTTTAATAGTTATCTGAGAAACTTATGTTTTCCTTCTAATTTTTTCTCTTCAATGTACAATAAAAATTAACTTGTGTATTGGAAACTAAATTATGGTAAAGTATAAGAAGCAAAAAAACAAAACAAACCCCCAATTCGAGGAAGTTTCTGTTTTTAAAAATTGAATTTTGTTTTTGTTTTCACATTTGGGTACTTTGGATATTTTTCTATGTGCCCTTTTAAAAAACATAGTTGACATAATGCTTTAAAAGCAATTTGCATCTTATTTTTGTCACTTAATAAGTTTTTCCCATATTAATAACTTTGCATAAAGTTATTAGACTATGATACTAGGCTGTATCATAGTCTATCATGTGTACATCCAGTGCTGTACTTAATCATTCTTGTACTGTTAAAAATTTAGGACGAAAAACTTGTGTTATGGTTATAAGGCAGGGTTACATGGTTTCACTCTTTAAATATATCAACTTGGGCCAGGCACAGTTGTTCATGCCTATAATCCTAGCACTCTGGGAGGCCGAGGCAGGTAGATTGTTTGAGCTCAGGAGTTCAAGACCAGCCTGAGCAAGGGTGAGACCACATCTCTACAAAAATAGAAAAACTAGCTGGGTGTTGTGGCAGGTGCCTGTAGTCCCGCCTAATTCAGGAGGCTGAGGCAGGAGGATCACTTGAGCCCAAGAGTTTGAGTTTGATGTAAGATGTGACACCATGACACTCAACCCATGGTAGCAGTAAGACTCTGTCTCAATAAAATAAATAATCAACTTGCTCTTAAGCATATCTGTATTTATATTCCTTTGAATTGCAATCTTATGATTGCTGCAGATCTGAAAGGGTAAAGGTACGTCAATCAGGACTTGCTTTTGACCTTTGGCAACTTGAACCACAAGCTCTTTCTTAGTTGTTGCCTATGAATATTTATCTTACTACACAAAATCATTAAATGCCAGAGCTTTGGTTAAGTAAAAGAAACTTGGGGTATCTGCTTTAAAATAAAATACTCTGTATTCTCATATATTACATTGCATTTTTGTCTTAGCAATATCCAAGTTGGTGTGTATACCAATGATAGACACCCTCCAGAATACGCCCATTCTACTAGTGTAGGTTTGATCCCTAGAAGTCACTCTGCCATGCTTAGAGTGAATGGAGATAGACCAGAGTAATCATTGTAGGCTGTAAAGAAATCCTAGGAGCGGCTCAGCGCCTATAGCTCACCCGGCTAAGGCGCCAGCCACGTACACCTAAGGTGGCGGGTTCGAGTCCCCAGCCCGGACCCGCCAAACAACAATGACGGCTGCAACCAAAAAATAGCCGGGCGTTGTGGCGGGCGCCTGTGGTCCCAGCTACTTGGGAGGCTGAGGCAGGAGACTCGCTTGAGCCCAGGAGTTGGAGGTTGCTGTGAGCTGTAATGCCACGGCACTCTACCCAGGGGGACAGCTTGAGTCTCTGTCTCAAAAAAAAAAAAAGAAATCCTAGGAGCCTTCAACTCAGTCCCTAGTTCCACCTCATTCCTAAGACCTCACTCAATAATGGCGTAAGGAATTCAGATGTGTGCTTCTGGTCTTGGAAGTTAGGTTCGATTCAGTCCCACAAATACCAGATCTTCATTGGAGTCTGGACGTGGAGTAGGTAGGAAGAATCATAATCATCCCTTAAAATTTTCTTTTCCTTACTCTGTGTAACCCCTGCCATTGAGAAAAGATTATTATTCTTTATTTCAAGCTTATTAGTAGAGGCGGTTTATCTGAAGTGTAAATAATAAATACAGTTTTTGTCTGATAATTGGAGTGATTTCTACCCTTGACTTATCAGCTGGCATATTTCATGACTTTGGAGTATATCTGGGGAAAGAGCAGTGTGAGATGGGAGATAGAATTTTAATATCCCTTTTATTTATGAAAAATACATTGAAAAACGAAATTGGGGGAATGGGGAAGATGGTGTGTGTGTATGAGCATGTCTACACACACGTGTATCGGTATAGTGATCCAAATAAAATAAGTAGATATGTGTGTTTATATATTTTTACATGAACATCCTAAAAACAGGATACATTAAGTATTTATTATATGTGTCAGTGAGCAATATTTTTATGTGTCTTAACTTTGTATCCAAATTAAATTTTATTAAATTTAATTTAACTAATTAAAATCTTAACCTCTTCATAAATTTTTACTATTGGCTATGTATAAACACTATAGTGTACCACTTTTTATTCGGGTGGTTATACGTAAGAATAACAGGATGTGTACTCAGTTATATTTTTTACAAATAATTAGGAAAAAGTTTATAAACGTACTTTTAACACGAAACTAATTGTATACATTTGTGTTTTGGGGGCAGGTATATTTTGGAACTTCCCATCCAAGGTACTATATCTCTGCCAACGTCACTGGTTTCAAATGTGTAACAGGAATGTCTTGTTTAATGAGAAAGGATGTGTTAGATCAAGCAGGAGGACTCATAGCTTTTGCTCAATACATTGCTGAAGATTACTTTATGGCCAAAGCTATAGCTGACCGGTAAGAAAACGAAATTAAGCCTGAGTATTTGTATTACCTAACTTCTGTTGATTTACTCTTTCTGTTCGACCTGTAGATTAGGGCTTTTTAAATTTTATTCCTTGCTCATGAGTACAGAGTAGATTAATAATTTTGGAAAGTAGTTCCTATTCGAATTACATAATTACAGATATGTACTAATGAAGCAAGTAAATGTTCTGATTCCTCTAAAGTCTTCAAATTAATGCGTTTTGAAGTGATTAAAAGGAGGCTTCTCTGTGTGAATTTTCATTAGTACATAGATGTAAATTTCTACATGTTATAGGAGAATGAAATCTATCAGTGGTTCAGGTGATGGGTTATTAAAAGCCTAGACTTCTTCACTATGCAGTTTCACCATATAACAAAAACTATTTATACCCCCTAAATCTATTAAACTTTAAAAAAATAATAATAATAAAACTGGGCAATGTGTGTAGCTCAAAGGAGTAGGGCACCGGCTCCATATACCAAAGGTGGTGGGTTCAAACACAGCCCCAGCCAAAAAATAAATAAATAATAATAAAACTATCTATGTATTCATAAGCCAGTAGGTGAAAATTTAAGTAATATTATTTCAAATTTTAAAATTTCTCAATAAATTATTTGATGCTTTGCTAAGATACTACCTTAGAGTCCTATTTTTGACTTAGCATTTATCACAAAATACTAGTTTGATTTTAAAAGAGATTGCTGCCCTTCGTGATAATTTATTTAAAATGTGGTTTTAAAAACTGAGTGTGTTGGCTCGGCGCCTACAGCTCAACCGGCTAAGGTGCCAGCCACGTACACCTAAGGTGGCGGGTTCGAATCCCCAGCCTGGACCCGCCAAACGACAATGACGGGTGCAACCAAAAAATAGCCGGGCGTTGTGGCGGGCGCCTGTGGTCCCAGCTACTTGGGAGGCGGAGGCAGGAGACTCGCTTGAGCCCAGGAGTTGGAGGTTGCTGTGAGCTGTAATGCCACGGCACTCTACCCAGGGGGACAGCTTGAGGCTCTGTCTCAAAAAAAAAGAAAAAAAACTGAGTGTGTTTTAAAAATTCTTCTGATGAGCTTGGCACCCATAGCACAGTGGTTAGGGTGCCAGCCACATACACTGAGGCTGGCGGGTTCAAACCCGGCCCAAATCAGGTAAACAGCAATGACAACTGCAACAAAAAATAGCCAGGCGTCATGGTAGGGACCTGTAGTCCCAGCTACTTGGGAGCCTGAGGCAAGAGAATCACTTAAGCCCAAGAGTTTGAGGTTGTTATTAGCTGTGACACTATGGCACTCTACTGAGGGCAACATAGTGAGACTCTGTCTCAAAAAAAAAAAAAAGAAAACAAAAGTTCTCCTGATGGTGGTCATGTGGTACTTGGTTTCCTAGTGTCTCCCATGAGATTAGATAATGCCGTAATTGCTAAAACATCCATAAGTATAAGTGCGACTGCTGAGGACTGGGCTCCCTTGAGTGCAGCAGGTTGTTGTGATTAACAAACGCGTAACCAGGCATACTTGCATGTGTTCTGCATAGCTTATTTTATAATTGCCTTAATTTTCAGAGGATGGAGGTTTGCAATGTCCACCCAAGTTGCAATGCAAAACTCTGGCTCGTACTCAATATCTCAGTTTCAATCCAGAATGATCAGGTAAATCAACTGTCTTCTTTTTATGTTAAAAGAAAAGGGAGAGGGGATATTTACATGGCTTTTAAAAAATAGATGTAAAGGTCAAAGTTTGGTTTGGTTTACTTATAGAAAATAAGAGTTTACCTTCTACATTAAAATAAATTTAATGTCTAAATATATTTTTGGAGTCAGGTACGGTGCCTCACACATGTAATCCTAGCACTCTGGGAGGTAGAGGCTGGTGGATCACTTGTGTTCAGGAGTTCGAGACCAGGCTGAGCAAAGGGAGACCCTGTCTCTACTAAAAATAGAAAAAGTAGCTGGGCATTGTGGCAGGCACCTATATTCCCAGCTACTGGGGAGGCTGAGACAAGAAGATCACTTGAGGGGTGGTGCCTGTGGCTCAGTGAGTAGGGTGTCAGCCCCATATACCGAGGGTGGTGAGTTCAAACCCAGCCCTGGTCAAACTGCAACAACAAAATAAATAAATAAACTTAGTTTAAAAAAAAAGAAGAAGAAGATCACTTGAATCCAGGAGTTTGAGGTTGCTGTGAGCTACAACACCATGGCACTCAACCCCAGGGAGACTTGAGTGAGACTGTCTCCAAAAAATATATATAGATAGATAGATAGATAGATGTATATACATTTATTTGTTGTTTTGTTTTCAGTTCTGTGTTAGACTAAAAGCATTCAAGTGAGATGTTGAGACTTTAAATGTTTTTAATATACTGATCTATTTTCTAATTTTCTGTACTTTGGTTAAATTTTATAACCTATATTCATCAGGGTATACACCATACAGATAAATTTACCAATTTTTCTTTGTTATATTAAATAAAAAGGAGATTCATTCACTTAAAGAAACTCTATATAACAGGGTAAAAAGTTGATTATTTGGGGAAAGGAACAATAACTTTTTTTTATTATTAAATGATAGCTAATAACTCTTATAACCAGCTGTTGTTTTAAAGAAATTCCTTTTATTCTTTTAGGTGGACCAAATTGAGAATTAACATGCTTCCTCTTACGATAATTTGTGAACCAATTTCAGAATGCTTCGTTGCCAGTTTAATTATTGGATGGGCAGCCCACCATGTGTTCAGATGGGATATTATGGTATTTTTCATGTGTCATTGCCTGGCGTGGTTCATATTTGACTACATTCAACTCAGGGGTGTCCAGGTATGTGGCTAGGCATGAAAAGGCTGGCAGTCATTCAGCGGAACTCCAGCTATTTTAATTTAGAAAGAGTTAAGGAAAATCTATCTGGCCATTATTCAGCTTCCCATTGAAGGTTAATATCAACATTACTTTCTCTAATGGAATGTTGACACAAAACTTAACTTGATTTGCAACTTCCAGTTGATTTGACAATCACTTTTATGAAGGATCCCAAATGGAAGTTAAACAGACTTGATTTTATGTATCACACTCAGAAATATAAAATTCAAGAATTTTCATTCTTGCGCTGTCTTCAGTCTGACAGTGAGTACATTATTTGTTTGTTTTCAATTTCTAGGGTGGCACACTGTGTTTTTCAAAACTTGATTATGCTGTCGCTTGGTTCATCCGAGAATCCATGACAATATACATTTTTTTGTCGGCATTATGGGACCCGACGATAAGCTGGAGAACTGGTCGCTACAGATTGCGCTGTGGGGGTACAGCAGAGGAAATCCTTGACGTATAACTACAGCTTTGTGACTGTATATAAAGGAAAAAAGAGAAGTATTATAAATTATGTTTATATAAATGCTTTTAAAGATCTACCTTCAGTAGTTTTATCACATGTATGTTTTGGTATCTGTTCTTTAATTTATTTTTGCATGGCACTTGCGTCTGTGAAAAAAAAAAAAACACATCTGTAGTCTTGGCCAAATGATACACTTTATTTTGTGGAAATAGAAAATCAAGAGAACTGGTTCTAGGAACCTGGGTTTGTTTTATGTTGCTGTTTATTTTTTTAAAATAGATAAATAAATGCATATATAGATGAAAGCTCTGCAACAAACACTATGTCAGTATCTTTCAGTAGAGAAAGTTTCTTATTTGTGAGTACACTCTTTGAGGATGTTTGTGGGTGGGATGGCAGCAGCTTGGGGGGTTTAGAAAACACTGGAAGGTAATGACCATTCACGTCCAGTGTGAATGGTCTTGATTATGCAGTTGAACAACCCACAGCGAGGTACTAAGAAACTTTTTATGCTTTATGCCTACCTCTTATAGTCGTTGCAGAGCAAATATAAATTGTGATAAGGTAGCTAGGCCTTGCAGAAACAAACGGGAAAAAACTTTTAAAAACTATAATAATAAAAAGAGCTGGAGTCTAGTATTTATATGAATCTGTAAGTGATATTTTTTTGGTCTTACTGCAATGAACCAAAAGTGGCTGAGTTTGGTTTTCAATTGTAGCCATGTATCAAAGGCATCTTTTTGACCAACTCTCGTTGGTTCTGTCTTGAACCATTGTTAATCACTGTGCTGTAATTAGTATAGCTCAATCTTTCCCTTCCCTGCTCCTTACCCGACCCACCCCATCTTTTCCTTAACTTTTTTTGGGGGGCGGGGGGCGGGTTGGGAGTGGTTTTGTTTTAGTGTGAGTGGATGTTTTGATAGTTGTAAGGAAAAATGCATTTCAGACACATTTCACGTGAGCTATTTTCTTACACAGTATGTCTTACTGTTAATAAGAATGTAATTTCATGATACAGGTATTTAATATCTTTTTTAAGTAAGTAAATATTCTAGCCATCAATAAATAAATTGCAGTAGAGTATTAAGAGGGAACAGGATGCATTTTACTCTTAGAATTAGTCGGTATCAAACTAAGTCTACTGTGAGTGTGTTTTTTTTTTTTTTTTTTTTAGCTATGATAGTCTAGTCTTATTTAAATTGGGTTTTTGTATTCCAGTTTGTACGGCAGAGTAGACTAGATGAGCTGAGCGCTAGCTGTAAATGCATGCTGTATTTCACTTCTCATGCCGATAAACTTGCTTGGCAGTTTGTGCTTAACTTGTGGTGAACTGGACTTGTTTTTGTTTTTTAAAAATAAGCAAAAATGTAAGGGACAGTGCATAAGCCTTTTTTTTTTTTTTTATAGTGGTATTTTTCTTTTTCTTCGGGATCAGATGGCACGTTGTCCTTATGAATGCCTACTCCAGGGCTAACACTGGCAATACGACAGCTTCAGAGTCTAAGTAACTACCGTTTCCATATGAAAGCATACTGTGTAGCATATTAGCAATAACTACATACTTATAGAAAACAAACCTTTTCACTTTACTGAGCCAATTCATCCAATTGTCTAATGACTGTCTACATGGTTTAAAATGCAATATAGCTATACGTGTGTATCCATATTATATTTAAAGCTTTTCTGTGGGCCAAACTGCCTCATCCTTTTTTCCTTTTTTGCCCCCTTTCTTTGCCTTATGATAAATTTGTTTGAAGGGCATTTTTTTGTTTTACGAACAAAGGCTTGGATGCATATTCCTTTCTTTATATGAAATGGGTACATTGTTCCCTGAGGAAAGTTGCACAGTAAAAACCAGTCTAGTTGTGACCCACTACATGTTTATTTTTTTAATCACTATTACATGAGTTGAACTCTGCTGACCATGTTTGCGGTTTGTTGGTTTGTTTAATGAAGTTTGGTTGATGCCATCGTTTGCACTGCTGAAGTGGAGTTTTATTACTTAGCTTTCCGCCGATCTCAGTACGCGCAATGTAACAACAAAACCAAAATGGCTGGACAGACTTCTTGTGTTTTGTAAATATAAAAAAAAAAAAAAATGACTGTTCTGTGTGTGTGTTTAATGTAGTAGTGGAGTATTTCCTTAAAGTGAAGCTTCACTTAAACAGAATGATTCCTTGTTTAGCAGGTTTGGAGTGATAGAAACTGGTAAAAAATAAAACAAATGTTAAAGCATCACAACAGAACTATAGAAGTCCAAATTTAATAAACTGTCTTTTTTTAAGAAAAAAAAAAACAAAACCAGTGTCTTAGAATATACCATGTTTTATTATTTAAAATCATTGTCTTAAGTTTTTTTGTTCAAAAATAAAAATTTGAATACAATCAAAGCATTAGCAATAATGCATTTTGTGTTTACTGTATTTCCTTTTATGTTTCTTTAATAAATAATCTAACATGTTCTGCCATCCACATCGGAGCTATCAGATGAGTTTTTGTTAAGTGTTAATCGTGAAATCTTCCTTTGACCTCAGCCACAGGCAGTCTTAGGATTTCCAAGTAGGGCTTTTCTATATTGATCTTGTGTCAGAATCACCTAGAGAACTTTAAAAAAAAAAACATATTCAAGCTCGGTGCGTATAGAACAGTGGTTATGGCACCAGCCACATACACCGAGGCTGGCAGGTTCAAATCCAGCTGGGACCTGGTAAATAGCAATGACAACTACACAGCAAAAAAATAACAAGACGTTGTGGCAGACACCCATGGTCTGAGGCAGCCTCATGGGAGGCTGAGGCAAGAGAATCACTTGAGCCCAAGAGTTTGAGGTTGCTGTGAGCTGTGACGCCACGGCACTCTACTGAGAGCAACATAGTGAGACTCTGTCTCAAGAGAAAAAAAAATCCAAAAACAAGCCAAAAAAATACATATGCCTGGGCCTGCCCACAGAGATTCGGATTTAATCACACTGGGGAAGGCCTGAGCTCTGTTGGTGGTTGCACTGGGAGAATTACTGGCCCGGTAGTCCCTTTGGCCCTACTCTGGACTTAACAGCCTGAACTCGACCTTTCAGATCTTACTACCCTCTTGGTTAGGAAAGGTGAATGCAAGGAAAGGAGTGGAAAGGCCTTGCCACTTGAGGCCTGAATGAAAAATGGGCTAAGCTGTACCCCGCACACCTGTCCAGGGGCCAGGTTTCTCCCAAGCTGGAGACCTTCCCAAGCCTGTTCTCTCACCAGCCCATGAGGAAAGAATAGGCCAGACTGGGGAGCAATCCCGGAAGAGAAAGTCACCTATAGACTGAGTGTTTGTGTCCCCCCACATTCATATGTTGAAAGCCAATGCCCCGGTGTGAGTATCCTTTGGGAGGGGATTAAGTAATGAGGGCTGTACCCTCAGATGGGATTAGTGTCCTTATAAACCCCAGAGAGCCCCTGGCCCATTCTGCCAAGGAAGCTATTGCAGAAGGATGGCCCACTGTGAACTAGGGAGTGGGCCCTTATAAGACCCCGAATCTGCTGGTGCCTTGAGCTTAGGCTTTCCAGCCTCCAGAACTGTCATAAATAGGTTTCTCATGTTTGTAAGTCACCAAGTTGATGGTGTTCTGTTACAGGAGCCATAGCAGACTAAGACCATCTAAAAGGGATCCGGATGGGACCTGTCAGAGGCTCCATTCCCAGTAAACAAACTTCCTAGTTCATATACTTATAACCCTACAGTTTAAGACATGACCAACACAAAGTGTGTCTTAAATTTTGTAGCCAAGTGAACCTCAAAGATTCCTCACCCTTATTTTAGAGTGAAGAAGCTGAGACTCCCAGGGTGAGAGCTGTGATCACAAGGGGTTAGACAGCTAGCTGTGTATTGGTGGCAGGGCTTGGGCGTAGCCCCTTGTTTTGGGTCCCAGTGTGGTACCTTTCTCTTTGTTTAAAGTTCTACCCACAAGAGCGTTAAAATTTAACCTTACAATTTTTTTAAAAATCCATAGTTTTAATAACCATATTCTGACTCTTAAAAATTGCTTGAGAGAACCTGATTCAAACCTGCAGAACAAGAATGCAAATTACTGTAAGGTTTGTTTAAAGTAAAATGCTTTGCATACACTATTGATAGAGATTAGTACATATCACAAGCCTATGTTTCTAAGAAGGAAAATAGTTCAGTTCAAACCTTTCCTTCTGAAGCTTATCAGCATCTAGTGCTTGAGTTACTCATTTCAAGTTTATGAACCATATCAACTTCATTTTTGGTGGAAAGAACCAAACTTTAAAAATACTGATGTCTGCAAAAGAGTTTAAAATGACTATCTTCGCATTTTCTAGAAACAAATAAAAATGCATACCTTTAAGAGAGGCTTGAACAGTTGCCTAAGAACCCAGCATGCTAAACCCTTCACGGCCCCTCCCCAGTTCTGGGAGAGAGATTGGCAGAAACTGTGGGTGTCTGCAGAGTGGTTTCATATGGTTGTGCTGTTTAGACTATTAGTCATCAGACGTTCGTGCTGATAGCATGGACTGGTAATTATCTAATTTAAACAATACAGAGATATCATTTATTCCTGTTCAGGACTGAAAGTCCTTGCACCACCCTTCCCTACTGCTTGCACACCTCCCATTGCAGTCAGGCCCCCATTGTTTTCTGACTGACCATTGTCACCAGCCCCGGAACTTGTCTCATCTCCCCTCTTGACTGACCCCACCAGGCCAGCCAGAGGAACACGCTGGGGAAGGCCAGCAGACTGTGGTGCAGCCCTGGAGCAGGGGAAAGGAACAGAGTTAGCAGTGGAGACCTGGGCGTAGTTTCCACAGAGGTCAGGGCTGAAGACGATGAATATAACTGAAAACAAGAGCATCGGCTCATTGAGAACTAGAGACAGACTCTTGGGGACCTAGTGAGAGGCACAGGGGAGGAAAAACCTCCAGGAAAAGAGGCTGCCAAATCTGGGGTCCAAATGGGCAATTTGGAAGCTGTGGGACTTGGGGCAGCTTACTTAGCCTTTCTGAGCCCAGGTTCATTACCACATAGGCTGGGGCACCTTGAAGCACCTCCTGAGGTGGTAGGGATGATTCAGTGAGGTCTACAAAGCCTAGTGATGGTGACTTCCTTTTTCCTGTCAAAGAAGAAAGAAGTAATAGAAGGAGCACCACAGGCGTCCTAGAGAGAGATTTTAAGATGAAAGAAGTCCAGGGAGGGGTTGTTGACACCATAAAGAAAGAGGAGGCTTGTTTTCTGGAGGGTTGGAGCTCAGTCCACCAGGAGTCGCCTCAGGTGGTGACGGGTGAAGGATCTGCCTGGGAGTAACACGGCTGCTCTTAGAATGATTTTCCTTGTTTTGCACGATGTTGTATTTTCGTCAGTAAGAGGGGTAGGATTTTCAGAACCAGAAATTTCTCCTAAGCTTGGTGGTACCCAAAGGATTCTGGTGCCAAAGAAACATTTGAAGAATGGCAGTGCCTGAGAAGCCAGTTCAGTAGAGCTGAAGGATCAGAAGTCAGATTTTTTGGGCTTGGCTGCAGGTGAAGAAGAAATGAAAGGCTATGGGTGTAGATATTTAGAACCTCCAACAGTGATGCATTTCCCACCCAAGGTCCCAGTAGTAGACTAAAAAAAAAAGATTTCAATTTGTGTTTGTGAGAAATTTCTTTTTTTTTTTCTTTCTTTCTTTTTTTTTTTTTTTT